TGATGTGAGAGACCCAGAACTTCCATGAAAGGAAAGGATAACAGCCCCCTCTGTTTTTCCCAGCTGTCCCAAAGCTGAGCCCTAGAAAGCAATGCTTATATAGTAACAGGCATGCTCAAAAACCCTGAGCTCGCAAGAGGCCCCACCTGCATTCCCACTGTACATTCTGCGCGTGGGCCTTGCGTGCGTCTGACCTGTGAGAAAAATCAAAACACTGCCTCACAGAAGCACAAAAAAACACCCTAAACCACCTATGAACAAGCCCAGATCAGAGGAAGCCTGTGTAGGGAGCATCCTTCCCCAAAGGGACACGTGAACCCTTCAGCCTTGCAGCTGGCGAGGCTGCTGCCTGCTGATTGCCAATTTCAGCTTTATTATTTCACTGTGAAGCCACCTGGCCATTGACAGCTACCAGCATCCTGTGTTGGTTCTCTGCATGTTTGCCAGAAACGTACCCAGTCTGCTCACCTGCTCAGCACTGAGTGCCTGGATAACACATTTCTGTTTGCTAACACAAATTTAAAAAAAAAAAAAAAGAAAAAGAAAAGAGAAAAGGAAAACTATAGTTCTGCTCTTTGCAGGATGTGCAGAGAGAGAGAGGGACTCAGAAAAGCAACAGCCTTAACGCGGCTTCTGATGTTTTCCAGTGTGGAGGACAAAGATGTCTGTCTGTGCGTCTCTCTCATTTGTGGGGTACCAGACCATTTTATGGTGGATGCAATACCTCCTCCTCCTCCTCATAGGCCTTTTATCTCAGTGTGTTCAGGCTGCAAAAAATAAGAATAATAATACCATAGACTGGGTGGCTTATATGCAACAGGCATTTATTGCTCACAGGTCCGGAGGCTGACGTTCAAGAGCCCAGTGTGGCAGACGCTGTGAGTGGTGGGGACTCACTTCTGGCTCATAGATGGTGCCTCTCCCGGTGTTCTCACGCAGTGGAAGAGGTGAGGGGGCTCTCTGAGGTCCCTTTTATAAGGACACTGAGGTTTATAAACAACAAGAATTTATTGCTCACGGGTCTGGAGGCTGAAGATCAAGATCCCAGCATGGTCAATGCTGTGTCTGGTGGGGACTCACCTCCTGATTCAGAGATGGCGCCTTCTTACTGTGTCTTCACGTGGTGGAAGGGGCCAGGGGGCTCTCTGTTAAAAGGACCCTGATCCCATCCATGAGGCTGCACCCTCCTGACCTCATCACCTCCCAAAGGCCCCTCCTCTTCACACCATCACTATCTTTGCATATCAGATCCATCCGTCCAGACGATGGGGCACTGGATGCAAAAAAAAAAAAAAAATTGCAGAAACTTGATTATAGATACTGCCCGAAGCTGGGTGAAAATAATGAAGGTTTTTTGGTTTTTTTTAAACACCATTCTCTTTACTTTTCACATATTTGAAAATACAAGGTGAAAGAAAATATATTCTATTAGAAAATGCCTGATTTATGCCGACTGTGTTACTGAATGCTGCAAACCATATCAGTTTAGAATTATCAAGACAGGAAGAAGCAAAACATTCCCAACCATTCTGCTGCTTTTTTTTTTTTTTTTATAACTGAGGTATCACTGACATATCATAAAATGAATCCATTCCCCGTTCTGCAGAGGTGAGCCACTCTCAGCGCAGTCCAGAGGATCGAATCAAAACATCCCCACAATGGGACTGAGTGGCCACAGCAGCTGACAGGTGGGGTTGTGAGCACACGTTTAGTCTTTCTGGAGGCAGTGAGTCTAGAAAACAACTTCAAAGATATGCCTAGACGATGTGAGAATTTTCCTGTGATTCACCAAAACGTAGAAGTCACTCAGGTCTCACGTACTGTGAAAACCCTTCCACTCTTCCTCTTGGTTTTGTAATTTTTGATACCTCTTTGGCAATCTGTGCACTCTGTGATGTCAGAGGGATTCTTCAGTGCTGTGAAAATATCTCTAAGGGGGGAAGAAACACAAGGTGGCCATAAAGTTTGTGTGCAATTTTAAATTGCATGCTGTATAAGCTGTATACCAGCAGGTTCCTAAAAACAAACAAACAAACAAACAAACAAAAAAGGATATTAAATAGTAGAGTGAAGTTGTTTTTGTTTTCATTAATTTCTTACTTTTAATTATTTTGAATACACAATAGTTTGTACATAGAAGGTTGTGTTTGAACAGTAGTCTGTGGGATTCTTAGAGAAATCTCAAATAACGCATGGGGTGTATCCTAACCTCTCTGAAGAGAGGTTTATCCCGACACAATAGAGTGAGAACTTGGCCCATTTTTCAGCAGAAGAAATCAAGGCTATTCAAAGATAGGTCACTCAATTTGTTAAGGGTCCCAGAGGCAGAAAATAGGCTGCCTGGGCCTGATCCCAGGGCCCAGGGGGCACCCAGAAATGATGTGTTAATTCTTATCAAAAGTTGAAAGAAATGGTTAATTTAAGGGACATCTAGGTCCACCCACCATCCTTTCTGCATTTGGGGTCCACCTTTCTGGGTCATTTTATTATAATAAAGACCTTCCTACAACATAAAAATGATATCAAAACTCCAGCTGACCAATCCGTCCCCCCCCCCTCCTTAGCAGTCATGAAAATTTTGAGTCCTTTGTAACATATGCAACATGAGTTCCTTTATTATGACAACTTTGGAGACGTACGGCGTTCGGCTGAAGGTGGAAGCAGATCTGGGTTTGTGTTTGTGTGGGTGATTCACAACTTCCATTTAAATCTGGAACTGTAAAATAAAGTCAATGTTAAAAAACTGAGATGATCGGCTTGTGCGCAGAACTA